TCTTCTTCTTCTCTTCTTTCCCTTTCTTCTTCTCTTCTCTCTCTCTCTCTCTCTCTCTCCCCTTTCTCCTCTTTTCAATCCTTCATTTCTGTATTACATCGATATTACACCGCCATATTTCTGAATCATTTCATTTTATCCCATTATTACAATATACTATTTGAATTTTAAGTAATTATTGATTATTCAATTTCTTTTTTAATTAAGTTTCGTTAGATTAAACAATGAAATACAACGTGTGCAAAGGAATAGAAGTGAAAATGGAATGCAATGGAATTTCAATAATATGAAATAAGATTAATTAATTTCTCCTTAACCTTAATTACACTTCCCATACCAATTTCTAACTTCATTGCCATATAATTTGTTTACTCATATCCTATCCTTCCTATCTTATCATTTCATTCATTAACCATTATATGAAAATTAATTAATGTTTAATTAATGATTGTGAAATGACACTGAGATATATGCTTAGAACTATCCATCATTTCAATTCAATTAAACCTCTCCCTGTTTTTATTTTTCTATATGTATTCCAATTATATCAACATTAAATTATTTATAGTTTTAATAATCATTTAGTAACTGGCGATGAATTACGAGTAAATGAATTTTAGCTAATTAACGTAATTAATTAAGATAATTTTTTCCTCTTGTTTTATTTAAAATTTTAAGCAAGAATGTGATTTAAATAGGGTAAATCATAATTTTTTTTTTTTTTTACAACATTTCTTCCCTTATTTCACTTTATGCAATTATCAATTTATTCATTTAATTTAAAAATCTTTTAATTTTAACAATTTATTTCAATAATTCACTTATTCCAATTATTATTTGCTGATTTCTTTAATTTCCAATCATTTTTTAAAAATTTGATTGATATCATTTGATTGATTTACATTTATCATTTGATTGATTTTATTAATTCGTCAACTTTTTTCCTTTGAAACGAAACGAACGAAAAGTTTTGTAATACTTTTCATTTTACTTACCGGTATGTTTGTTATTTCATCCAATAATTTATTAATTAAGTTAACCTGTCTCTTCTCTCTTATCTTTCCTTCTTTTTTTTTTTCTCAACCTTATTGATTTAAATTTACTTTAAGAATTCACTTATCATAATTATTACATTCCATTATGTTTGCTTAGTTTAATAATTAATTTTATCAATTTCAAAAAAAAAAAAGAATATCTTTTGATCCATTCTTTTTTTTTCTTTTACAATTTTACAAATTTAATTTTTTTTTACAATTTAATTTTTATATTCTTTTGAAATAGCAATCATTTTCTAATATTAATTTATCTACAAAAAATATCTTTTATAATATTTTTTCAAAAAAAAAAAGAAAAGGTAAAAGTATCAATTTTAAGATTGCAAATATTATTAATTCATTGCGTTCATTTTAAAATCAACCAATAAATGTTTTTTTTTTTAATTTTGAAAATTATTAAGATTACGAAATGTTATTATTCCGAACAATAGCTGTAATTGCTTTAACAAACTGTATAACAGTATTAAGCAATATCATACATACTACTACTACCAAAAAATTTGATATTAATACTGATAATGAAAGAATATCGATGGATCAAATGAAAAATATTCGGCAATCATTTTTAATTGGTGGTAAACATGATGTGGAAGAAATTGATAATACAAAATATAAGGTATTTTTTACATTCACATTATCAATTATTTATCAATGAAAAATTTTTGAATCGAAATTATCAATGGAAAATTTTTATTTCAAAAATTTAAATAAATCAAATGAATGTATTGCATGCTATTAAATTAATTGTTTCAATGGCGAATGTGATATTTTATAAAGAATTTCAACCTTTAACCCTTTTTATATTATCATTAATCAATGAAATGAAATAGAATGTTATTATCATTTGTGTAATTATTTGTTTTGTTTACTTCTCTCAATCAAAAAGAATTCAAATTTGTTCCATTTATATTATTTAAATATGTGAAATTATCTTATCTTGTCAATTTTTGAAAA